AATAGCAGTAATTTTTCTGAAAGAAAAGGGCATAAACTTCATAAGACAAACTCCTTGAAGAACTTTTAAGAAAAAAAAAAAACTACTTACTGGGATAATTTATTTGTTTTTTTGGTTTATTATTTTCAATAATCAACCATTGTGATCGAACAAAACATTCAAAAACTTAACCCCCTATCAAAATTTGAGGTTTCACGTAGAATTCGAAAAATGAATACAAAATTTTTTGTCCGCGCATTTTCTCAGAAACTACTGGACCAATTTTTGTCAAATTTGAATATAACATCAGAGGTCACCCGAGGATGATCCTCCTGCATCGACATTACTATCCGCCTTTTACTTTCAAAATGGCGGCCGAAAAACCTGCGTTGATATAGACTGTAGAATTTACCGATTTCAATGAAAGTTCGCTAGTCATTTTTTCGACGCCCTTTAAATTTATCTATATAACATACTTCAACGAAAAGAAGCTGAAAAAAAAGTTACGAGGGATGGTAAAATTAAATTCCGAATAATTCAAAAGGTTTACACTTTTTTGTCGATATTGTGATAAGATGTTTCGAAGTTATTTAAATTTTCTAAAAAAAAAATCGTTAAAATCGGATAATTAGGAGCAAAGATATGGTCTCCAGTTTTCTTCTTTGTATGTTCTACTCCAAATGTTATATCCTTTGTTTGGTTTTTTAAATTTTGAATGTGTTACTGAAGTAATGCTATTTTTTTAGCATATTACTAACGATTAAAAAAAAAGTATAGTTCAATAATTGGAATCACTTTTTATTTATTTTCTTTGTAACTAGGAAGGTAACTATACTTTAGATCAATAATTGTTTGGAAATAATAAACCATTGTGAAATAATTTGCAGTGTTTCTTGATATCTACTTATATTTTGTAACTGAAAAACATATGTTATATTTTAAAAATAGTATATATTTTTATTATTGAAGTATCAAGCTCAGATCAATCAAAAAACACATATGAACCAAATGTGGGAGGGGCAACCAATCTATTTTGGAGGGGCTTCAGCCGTAAAGTTCCCTCAGAGGATCTGGCAGTATTCATCAATAAACTACTCAAAATAGTTAAAATAGATGTAGGAGTAGGACGCCCCGTATGATTTTATCAACAATCTATATCACATGTAAATAATATACTGTGTTCAGATGTTTTATGGTTATAAAATATATTGTGTTGATTAGCAAAATCATTAACTTCCTTTAAAGATATTTATTAAAGTTAATCAATCTTAACTTAACCAATAATACTAATAAAATGACTAGTAATATAGGTACGAAAACAGAGTGTTCAAAAGTTCTTATAAAAATGCTGTCAACATCTTCTACAACCATAATTGTTTTTTCCTTAAAAAAATACGAATAAATATAATATTAATTTCAACTTAGCTGAATGATTCTATTAGGTATAATCGGCAAAACCTATCATGCAACTCAGTGAATGGTCCTAGGAAAGAAGTACCAATAAAAAAAAAGAGAAAATCAATTCATTCTGAGCCAAAGTCTCTTAAGAATAGGAATGATGTATGGAAGAAAAAAAGGATTACTACTGGCATCACTGAACATATGAAAAATACAATGCTTTCCTACCTTCCGTAGTTAGGAAGCAGAATATTTTGTAGAAGAATGGTGAAACCATATAATTGCCATTAAGAAAAATTAAAAGCTATACTCGTCTAACGGGAAAGTAAAATTACTTCCCCGTATACATAGAACAAAATCTGTTTCTAAAAAAAATATTTGAATAAATATATGTCTAATCGTAGAGTAAAAAAAATAAAGATCAATATGGTAATCCATAAGAAAAAATTATCGATATCTGTAAATAAAAATATTTTCTGCATACTAACAAAAATGGATAATGACCAATACGTTATAAATTGAAACTAGAGTAGTATATTTATTAAACGTTCAGAAAGCGTAATTATTCCAATAATTGGCTGATTTGATTAATTAATGATAAAGAGAAACGGTCCTTTTAACAATTAACGCATGCCCTAACCTCAGAGATGGGCAAATGCTATTCTGAGTTCTGAGTGTCAAATATTTTACTCAAATACTGACCTTTTTTGAGCACCAAATAATTTAATTAATACTTCAGTTGATTTCCAACGATCAACTAAAATAGAGATTGATTTCTCAATAGTGATCCAATTTGAATAAAATATTTGGTACTCGGTACTCGTAGTAGCGTTTGCCCATCTCTGCCTAACCTGATTCATTTTCTGCACTAAAATAGAGTTTATACTCTTTTTTTCCGAGCATATATATATATATATATACATATATATTTATATGTAAAGGGAAGATTAGTCCCTAAAAATAAAAGAGAAATATATAAGAAAATTTGGTACTTTTCTTTCCACGAGTAAAAAAAACAATGTTTTTAAAAATTTTAATTCCAATATGTGACATAAAAAACATCTGATTACATCTAAAAAAATCTGATGCGTGCAACACACAACTTTCACTTACCGCTCTACTTTGAATAGAAATTATTTTCTGGCAATGCTGGGCTATTATAAAATTCTAAGTGCATTTTAAACAGAGCTAAAGCTTAAGCTTACAGATAAGTCATTAAGACCATTATAATTACAAAATGTCTATTTAATATATCGACGGTAGGCAATAAAAATCTAGTCACTCCATCTGCTTTTATAACCACACAACTTTTTTGCTTTATAAACCACAGAATGACTAACTCCAATTTCAAACTTTTTTGAGTAATGTCAATTTAGTGATTTTAGTGATTTTTAGCTGAAAAAGTTATCTATGCAGATAGTGATTAAGTTGATTCCGGAGGTGGTGATTGTAGTATTGAAATATAGAACTGAGAATAAAGGTATAAATTTAGGTACTTATTTCTTATGAAAGATGTTCTGAGGTAAGATAGTTTAGAAAAAAAGTTTTTTTAATCTCAATAATTAAAAGAGTATATTTTAAATTTATAGAAATTTTCGCCTCTTCAATGGAAAAAAAAACTAGAGACCATATCTTTCCTCCTAATTGCCCGATTTTAACGATTTTTTTAAAGAAATTTCGTAAACTTTTAATAAACCATATACAATATCCACAAAAAAGTGTATACTTTTTGAGTTATTCGGAATTTAATTTTACCATCCCTCGTAACTTTTTTCCAGCTTCTTTTCGTTGAAGTATGTTATATAGATAAATTTAAAGGGTGTCGAGAAAATGACTTTAGCGAAGTTTCATTGAAATCGGTACATTCGTTTAGGCGCTACAGTCTATAGCAACGCAGGTTTTTCTGCATTTTTTTTTTCTCCTTTATTAACTTATCAAATTCTTTCAATAGTTATATGTAACATTTTTTTGTAACTCTGAATAATGCGAAATGATTAACTTTTTCAAATAAACCATATTAAAGGTACTTTAGAGGAAGACATATATGAACAATGGGCATTTAAGCCCTGTAAAGTGACATCAACGGGGATAAGACCTAAATGATATTAAAGACCACTTAATTATACAATGATACACCGAGTTTGATCAAAATCGTTAGAGCCCTTGTATTGTAAAAATGTGTTATAGCGTTCATATAAAGTGGCACTTCCGGTTAGACAATTTTAACGAAAAAGTTACTGTCACATCCGGCTCATATACAAACCTTAAATACTTAATATCAGTTTCGTACTACTTTTCGTTTATGAACTAGACACACACACACACCCAGACACACACACACACACACACACACCATTTTGAGACACTTGGTTATTTGGACTCAGGGAACCTCAAAACATGTATTTCTGTTGAAAGCTGAGAATCGAAAATTTTCACGATAGCAATACTTACCCTTAATACATATTACATATATACAATAAAAAAAATTAATAGATTCGTTTTTAGCAGAATTTATGTGCGACGGAAAAATTAGAGCGACGGATCCATTTACCTCAATTATTAAAAATATTCATTATTTTTACAATGACTGCCTTCTTGTTTATTCTGTTGTTCTCAAGGGACTTGCGTAATTATTTTAATATAAATGCGTAATTATTTCCTCCAAAATTCAGTTTGATGTTCTGTGTGAATGTTCAGGTACCAAAGATAAATATTGACAATGGCAATATTAGCTCATTATAGAACTATTGTTGGAAAACACCTGATTTGAAGGTCATACTAATATTTACCCTCCTTCATTAGCTGTTAGTAATTCTCAATAAAATACATATTCATCTAATTACTATATTAATTTTAACGTAAATAGCTATAAACAAGAGTAGTTTATTGAAGTGAATAAATAAAAAAATGATACAGTATATATCGGAGATTGGAAAGACATCAATAGAAGTTATAGTGGAGTTAGTGAAGGTTTTTTTTCCTCCCCTTTATTATAGGTGTTTTTCCGGGTCTGGAGTGAGGGCGGGGGATTTAAAAGTTCTCCCGGGACACCGCGACACCGGCACTTGGTTTGGTTAATATTCATTTCTCGGCGGTCCCAGGAGATGAATCTTGACATTCCTAATGTGGTAAGTGCGGGGTAGCAATCTCAAGGTAGCCATCAAGGGTTGGCAAATATGACCAAGATAGGGACCACTTGTCGGACTTTTCCCCCATCAGTAATAGTAGGCAGTAACAGTATCATGAGAACTTTTGCGATTTAAATATACAATGATATGTCATTGATGAGCATGCGCACAGCTGGAGAATAATTATTACTTGTACCGCTATGGAGAGATCTAAGATGTGGTTCCTCGCCTTGCAGAGGACTTGGCATTTCTGCCTAACCTGGCGTAGAGATATGAATCATTCCTAGGAAACAAGATGGCGGGCGGAGGTTTTGATAAAACGCCCTCCCTCACCATGATCCATACACAGCGAGATAAGAGGATTCATGTAATTTATGCGGGAACAATTGTGAATAATGTTTTAATTAGTAGGGTTGTGTATGGAGCGTGGGAGGAGCCTCTTGGATAATTACACCGGCTCTGGAAATAATGTTGAAACAGGAAGTGGCTATCCGCATGTTCGCTGAGCGCGTCAAACCTCAGATGCCTTATCTCGAAGTACAAACTCCGGTTCCATCTTCGTCATCGCTGGCCACTTCTCCTTCCGACCTCCTCAGGGTATGCCCTGCGGCTCAGTGGTCCTCACTGGGGTACACGAGTGATTTTTACACAATAAACTGTCTTAGTAAGAAAAAAAACTGATGTTTTCATTTAATCTTTGGTGACGTTGGATGAAACAAGTTTAATTTGTGATAGAAAGCTGCAATTTAATAAATACAATTCTAAGAATGAAGTTAGCTTAAATTATATAGAATGTGCAATTACATGACTCACTTATTTAAAATTGTCTTTAAAAATAAAAAATTATAATATAATTTGATTCTCAGTCCTTATTTTTTTTCATTGAAGGCTCAATCTCAATATTATAAATAAGAATAATTTCTTTCAAAATTATTTTATCGTTAATGAATAGTAAAACCAATCGCTATACGTTTGTTTGCCACGAGCACACTCTTTAGACTCAAGCATGTTAGTAATCATGTATTAGAAAAGGATATAGTGGTGTATCAAAACATGTCCACCTTTCTCAATCCTTGAACATCTTGCAAGTATTTTACTCCATTAAAATATTTATTACATAAGACACACTATTAAAATTGAGTAGTTATTTAAATCATTTTTAAAGTTAAACCTAATCATTATCAATAATTTTTAGAAAACGAGAAATACTGTATTTCCTATTTTAATTGTTAAGTTGAAACCAATATGTTTAAAAAAAAAATCTTTTTATTTGTAAAACGCATATTTCCGGCAATCATTAATTATTTCAACTATAATTTGAAAAAACATCGAAAATTAAATAGGGCATCTTTTGGAAATAATTAAAATTTCAATTTCATTACAATTCTCGAAAGAAAGATCTTTTTTCGAAAATAAACTTATTTCACACCACTTTTTTAAAACATTTAATTAAATATATTAATTTTTTTTTTAAATTACACCACCCGATTCATTAGGTGTTTTTACATAAGAATCGTCACTTATTATAGTTTCCGTAATCATCGGTTAGGGTTCGATTTAAAATTATATTTGAATATTGTGAGCCAGTGTTCTCCATTATGTGACTAACCAAGTATTTCTAGTTCCGCTGTAGAAGCCAAAACATTAAAAATGGAGTTGACTGATTTTGGATTTATAATTGTCAGAAAACGAAAATTCTATCGGGATTGAATTGTTATTGAGTAATGATCCACCAACGTCTTGTTTTAGTTAGCTAAAAGTACTGATAAAGATTTGTATAAATATAATAAAGAATGTTTGTTCGTATGGATTGTCATAAGCTAAAAAAATCAATAATTGTTATCCTAACAACAAAATAATTTATAATAATAAAAATACCGAGTGTATAACAGCGATAGAGGGGTTCCTAATATTCTAAATGTTGAGTCAATATCATAGCATCGAATAATATCGTTACCTTACTACATGTTCCTACCTTGCCACCTTCATTTTAGACAAACAGATTTAAAACAGGGCATTTCCATCATTTCATCAATTAGAAAGCCAAAATAAATACAAGAAAGAAGAACATATTCTAAAAATCGGCCTGTTCAATATCCGGCAGTAGCTTGATACAATGAGACGGACTGTAGGATCTGCTCAACCTCAGGTTAAATATAGACTGAGGGATGGTAAACCGGGATCCATTACTTTTAGCATTGCATCTCTATATCGTTTATCTTCTCTTTTATTTATACTGCTTCGGCTGAATGGTGCTGTTTATAGCCGGAAAGAAATATTCAGAACATATTTCGTAGATATACTTCGGAGAGTTTGGCCAGAACCAGTCCATTTCGAGAAAATCGCCACAAGAATGGTATGTAAAACAGAGTAATACATGTGTTTATAATTTTTTCTCCCATCTAATCAATCCATTTAATAAAAATACCCAGTGTACTTAAGGCAGATCTTCCAGAACCGACTCAATCCATTTTGAAAAAATTAAGGGACATTAAAAAAAGGGTATTAATGTGTCATATTTTACAAACGCAATCCCATGACTTAAAACCTAATTTAGCATAGTATAACGAATAACATTTGGAAAAGCATAGTCCAGTGAAAACTCTAACATCATACAGTATTTCTTCGTAATACTTTTGACGAATAAATCAGTGAAATATGTTTATACAATATTACATTTTCAAGATAGCCTATGGAAAAAACACTATTAGTGAAGCTGCATAGTTTACCACGACTGCTAAAGTTCACTTATTAAGGGATCAGCTTGTCCCATCTAAAAACATCCCACCAGTTTAAGACTTAGCCAATAAGAAACAGCTATCCCTGAACTTATACCAATCCATTGAAGTAGTCCCTCAAAACCTATTTGTCTGCAGTAGAAGAGCCTTGGTTATTATTTTTCTCACTTACTAAGGAAGACTAATACTGAGATTATGGAAGCCATAATTGGATAAATTATTTTCGTTATTTATATTTTTCACTTTTAAAAAAATTGAAAATCATCTATTTCGCAACTCTCTGGAAATATTCTGAAGTTTTTATGGTATTAAAACCTAATAAATCCAATTCGACTCTCCAAACTCACACCATCCAATCAGCCTTCTTCCCACCTTTTTTAAATTATTTCAAAAAATTATTCTTCGTTAATTTGATTCTGTGGATATATTTAAATTTATTCTAAATCATCAATTCGGCTTCAGAAAGCATCATTAAACTGTTCAAAAATGTATCGGTGGATTATATTTCTAAATCTTCAAAATCTAAAAAATATTGTCCTGGAGTTTTTCTTGACATTAGTCAAGCCTTCGATAAAGTTTGCCATGAAGAATTGCTTTCCAAACTTAAAATTTTACTTCCTCCGACCTACTACCTAATATTAATCTCATATTTAACGGATAGACATTATGTAGTAAAAGTAGGGACAGAACGTTCAGACACTAAATTTATTAAAGCAAGAGTACCTCAGGGCAGTGTCCTTGGACCAACATTGTTTAATATATATATGTATATCTGACCTACCGGAACACAATGACACTATACTGGCAACTTTTGCAGACGACACCGCAATCCTCGGCTCAGATAAAAACCCTGTTCGAGCATATATATATATATATTTTTTTTTTTTTTTTTTTTTTTTTTCGTTCCTCCTCTTTCTCGCCGTTAAGACAATACGAGGTTTTCCCGGGCTAGGGGGTGTGGGCGGGGATTTAAAGACACTCGGCTCCAGGGCGCGAACTCGTGACTATTTTATATCATTAGACTCATATATCAGGTTACCCGGAAACGGCGGTGCTGTACACACCCGTTAGCCCATTCGGTCACTATCTGCACAATATTGCTGATTGGGCTACAACGTGAAAAATTAAGATGAATGAAAAAAAAAAAGTGTGTACGTATATTTTATATACGTATAAATATATTTTAATAACATTGAAATCCCAGCATCAGATATTTAGGTGTTTACCTAGACAAAGGATTTACTTGGAGGACTCAAATTAGACAAAAACGAATAGAATTAAACGGACGATGAGGCATTTTATCCAGATTACTTCACAGCTGTTCAAAATTATTTTTAACTAACAAACTAACCCTTTATAAAGTTTTACATAAACTAATTTGGACTTATGGCATAGAACTGTGAGGTTCTTCTAAAACTTCCAACATTAAAAAAATTCTGTCCTGTCAAAAGTATATCGAAGGATAGCTGACGCACCTCAATTTTATGTTTCAAATGATATACTACATGAAGACTTAAATCAACTATTTTAGACACTACAATAACTTTCACTGACTGACGTACAACATGAATCTCCTGACAGAAATCCTTAAACGTAAAAGAAACACCTACAGCCCAACACGACAATTACGTAGGCGTCGGCCTGTGAAGCTGCCAACGAAATTGCTCATTGCAAAGAAATTTGTGGATTGCAAGTTTAATTTAATTTTCAACATTTTTGTTTGGTTAATAAAATATATATATATATATTTTATATTGGAATCATTAAGAACTTGTAGTAAATGTGTATTGAACTGGATTTAAGATTCTTATAACAGGATAAAACATCATTTTTAAAAAACAAATTTAAAAAACCCGGTTATATTCTACTATAAAAAGGGTTTAGTATAAAAAACGAGCTATCTCCTGGTATTAAAAAGTATAGTTAATTAATCTAAACTTGATATAATTTCATTAAAAAGTAATTAAAGACACTTTAAAAAAAAAAAAACGCTGGAAAAAGATTCACCAATAATTTACTTGTTTCATCATCCTGAGGTTACGTTTAACAAACGAACCTTAACTTAAGTTTGAATTATATTTAGTACTTAATTAACTTCAGGAGGTTTTTTAAAACATTTCTTTATTGGATTTCATTACCTTTTGTATCAACCAAGAACAATAGTAAGTACCTGTAACGTGCCAGGCATATACCTGCCTTAAATATATAATTTCACTTTCGTGCGACTTTTAGTTTTGTAAGTAACTGGCTGTTCACGTACATACAGACACATACCATTTTATATATACAGTTCTTAAAGGCCTAACTCTTGAGGTTGATTCTAGACAAAATTTCCAACAAAAAAATTCCTTTTATGCATAGCCGGATTCCGAGCGGAAAAGGAGTTGAGACCAATTTTGTATTTTTCTTAAGGTGATCACGTTTTTGATAGGATAAGAAAGAATTACCCCAAAACTGTTCAAGATACTTAAATTCTAAGTACACCATCGTAAGTATCGTAAGTTATTAATGATAAAAGGGACTTTCAGGAGGTCTAATAACGCAAAATATAACATTATGCAGAAATATATAATGAATCGGGATAACAGAGATACGCTGTTGGGGTATGGATACTGCAAATGCATCAGTACAGCAGGCATTTTAGACCTCCTGAATTTAATCACTGTCATATCAAAAAAGGTTTGTCTACTTTACGATGATGTGCTTGTAATTTAATTATCTACGGAGTTCTTGAGTAATTTTTTCTTATTCAATCAAATCGTCACTACCTTAAGAAAAGTACAAAATTGGTATTAACTCATTTTTCGTTCGAAATAGTCTCATGCTTCAAATGTACTATTTTGTTAAAAAAAAATTTCTAGAACCACCCTCTAGAATTTGACCATAAAATACTGAGACATCCTGTATATTACTATATAGGTAAGTGAAAGTAGAAAATGGAACGACAATTAATTCATACTAGTGCCACACGGTTTAATACTCATGTAATAAGCATAACCTTATTTTCCGATTTATAACCTTCATTATCCGATCCTCGTTCCTTTGGAACTTAATCCCCTCTCACATTGGTCAATCCAATAACCTTCCTACCTTTAAATCCCGGCTGTTCAATCATTCCTTATCCATCCTGTCACCATGAAATTGTGAATAGATACTAATTTAAATATGTATATAAATTATTAGTTCGTTCTTCATTATTTTTGCTTCATCCTTTTTTTTTTAATTTTTTTTTATTATTAAGTAATTAAAATTAGAAAGTAACTTAAATTTTTCATTTTTTTGTTTCATTGTTTAATAACTCTGTATTTTTATTTATGTATCTCTAATGCTCATTAGCAGATATTTATGTCTTTCAGTATTATTCTAAAGGGACTCGTCCCAGAATAAATAAAGTATTATTATTAAATACAAAAGTAACTTATCTTCCCTACATATTGTTAACACCTAACTGTTGACAAGTAGGACACCCTAATAAAAAAGGGGCGTGAAAGCGGCCTCATAAAATCGTAATTTTCGGACTGAGATCTAGTTTCGGGATATGTCGTACGCCTACGCCCAGGAGACACAGATCACAAGGACATTAACAGAGGCCAAGACAAGAGTGAGAAAGCCATAACTAGTGTTTACCAACAGGCTAGCAGATGCTTACATTTGCTCTGCCTCCAACAAAAACGGCTTTATTGCTCTATAGGAACTTTCATAAGGGAACAGATGGACTTCATCCAGTCCACTGTAAACAGCTCTCTTTGAAAAGGCTGCCCCCTCCAATAAAATCCTAATTTCCTGGCATTTATGGGCCCCTTATTCTAAATGAAGAAATCTGGTGTCTTCTCTTTTTCAGAGGTTATTTCTTGTCGGCAAGGCGGCGGATGAGAAAGAAAAAAAAAACTGGTATATATTATTTTTGTCCTATTGGTAGATAGTGTAATAGCTTGTTAGCTGTCTTGAAGTAAACAAACTCAGCTTGTTGACAAACTGAGACTTCCGTTCGAGGTGCCTTCTATAGCATTGGTAACACCATTGGTTCACACACACACAGATTTCAATAATCACCAATAGAGTTTAGGTGAACAAGAACCAATCGTTTTTCTTCAACGGAAGAAATAAATAGAATTTCATAAATACTTATCTGAGAAAACTGGATAGAATTTTAATATCAACCGAACTTCGAAATTTCCTCAGTTCCCTCTTCTGAAACCAATGTAGCAGTGGTTAAAATTCCTTTGCAAGATATTAGAGCATTTGATAATTCGTGTAAAGGCCAACGATATAAGGAGTTTCAGTTTGATTGCCAACAATATTTATTATTCATTACCAATAAATACACGTCATCTTTTGGGGCACGTTAATGATAAAATTTTCAAAAATAATATCAATTTATATTTCTGTTGTTTTCATTTTATTTCTGTTATTTGATTATAAAACTTAAGCTCAAAAAACACTCGGACTAAAGATACAATCAAAATTGAAAGTTAAAAAAAATTAACAAATATTTCAATTGTGTTGGACACAAAAAATCCATTTCTTTATTGTTTGTGCCTGAAAGCAATTATATTTTTTAAAATTCATATTAAATAGATCTTAAATCTAATTTTTCCCAATCTGTTTTTATTAATTAATAATAATTGTAATTTTCAGTGTTTAGTGTACGATTTATTTAATTATAGTTATAAGAAACCATATCATTGGGTCTAAACAAGCATATGGTTTTTGGTTGAATTACATAAATAATATTTAAACTTGCTCTAAGTATAATTGTACAGAATCATAATTGTGGATTTTTAACAAAGATGCAAAAAAGAACTGAATTATAGTTTTTTCATCAGTACTTGCCAGGACAAGAATCGGAAGGTTGTCGAATGTCCACTCTCCAATTCGACTGACAATAAGTCGCAACCATAAGGCCTAGAGATGATCCCATCAATATTCATCCTCCCATCAACTTCCGACCTCCTGCCGATCCGTTATATCGGTCAATCGTCACGCAGGCACCCTCATATACCTCGCCCTCCGAAATATGCTGGCTGTCGTTAGCACCATCAGGCTAATATTTATACGGCGACCATAACGCTCCTGTGTATGTTTGTTCAATTTAGTGACCGATGGAGGGAGGGGGAAGACATGAGGGGCACGCGACCCCCATTCACAGGGTCACGTGTCCCGCTAATAGCTCACTAAATTGTGTCATCCGAGTTTCCTCCCCGTCCGCGATTTACAAAGCTCAATACAATGGGACGTCGTCTGCTTTGACAGCAGGCGATCATATTTTGTCAATATGTGTCCTCGTGGTGTCTGGGGAGGGGCCATTAGTCGATCTGAGCTTTAACACCATTCAACAGATGCACTTCTATTATATTCTTTTTAACAGTTTGTTCTGATTATAGGGCTGTCGTCAGCGAATGTAAAGATAATTATATACTGTCCTTCACATCAGTATTTATTTGCATCCAAGCCGATGGATACATTCAATAACAGGTAAACATTTAAATGACTTCCTACTGACAGACGTAGAAAACACGCATTAAACACTATACACGTACTCAGAGGAGAATGGACTGGCTAGGAAATGATTAAGAATGATTGACAGTAGAACTTGTAAATGACAATGGAACAGAAGATACCTTCTAATACATGTTAACCTGGGATAGTAGACGGAATCAGATGTAACATTCAAATAATTAGAGAAAATAAGTGAGGGATGTCACATTTGGCCTAGAATTGGTGATTGAACGGAAGGATAACTATTTTTATCTAATTTGAAAGTATTTTAATACGTTTAAAAAAAAAGTATCAAATTTAATTGCAGTAGGACACGATCTCAGGCAAGAAAAGGCTTTTTAACTGGATACAATTTATTCAATACTAATAAATAATTTTTATGTAATTAAGCGATGAATATTTTTTTATTCTCTTATTTTATTTTATTTTTAAACTATTACAATATAAGTACATATATATATATATATATATATATATATATATATATATATATATATATATATATATATTATATATACATATTGTTGCTTTATATTTATAGTGTCTTATGACGTTTCGATAGAATAAGTCTTAGTTCTTCTTTTTATTAAATGATTAATGGCTTATTCCAGGGACAGCATTCAATTATAAAATTTATTAATAAAAAAAAAATTAATATTTTTCATATTGAAGTAATATAAATATTAAACATAAATGTATTTTAACTATTCTCTGATATCTAACTAGAAACAAATAATTATATTTTTATTAATAGATTGGAATTACCATTAGGAACTCTCAATAACATTTATCAGTTTGTAAGAGGCTTTCGCAGAGTACTCATCATTATGCCTTCCATTTATACAAATGGTGAATATGCCGATATGGTGTTAGTATACGGTTTTTGACATTGAAAAAAAAGTCTATGCATGTTCGGTCAATGATCTTAATTCATTACGAAGAAGGATAATTGAATCTTGTGAAACAATAACACATATCCAGTGATGTTCTACCATTGCTTTGATCCAAAAACTTGGTTCTAAAATCAGTTAATAATGATTAAGAATACTAAGGCATATTCTTCCATTTTTATTAGTGTTTCCTACAGGTTACAAAGGTGCCATAAGATAGGGTAACTGAGAATGGATGGTTAATTTTGGGATGAGGGTAAAATTTAGATTGTGGTGATTCCGTGTTGGAAACACTGTGTTGGTTTAGTCAACATGGACAGCGTATGTACTGCGCTATTACCTTCTCTTGAAGCACAAGCGGAAGTTTCATGATACAAAAATTTTGAAAAAAGCAATGGAAATAAATAAAACCTAACTCGACATCGAGTTTGGTGAACTGCCGCAAAGTATTGGCACAGTACATACCAACACAAAGCACATTTTTTTCAGAATGAACCAACTCAGTGTATCCACCATGGAATCACCACAAACAAAATTTTACCCGCTGTTCCAAAGTGATTCACTCAATCCCAAAGTTACCCCATCGTATGGAATTTAACCTGAGTGAGAATGTAGCATTTAATTAAATTTCAAACGACTCAAGATGGATTCGAAATAGTACAAAGCGCTCCAAGTATATGGAAAGGGATGCCTAGAATAAAAATGTAGAATAATATTCATTGGATTCATCATTCAATACCAGCACAGTTTATCTTATACATTCACCTGGCGTTCGTTCCGGTAACTCTATCTGAAATAATATGTCTGTAAAAGTTGCATTTAGACGCAGCCAAAATATATCGAAAATTAGAATGCGTACACTAAGCAATAAGAATATGCAAACAGTACATAGCAATATTTGACGATTTTTGTAATTCAAGAGTTTTCATATCATCTAAAATTTAAAACAAGTTAATATTTCTAATTTTAATATATTATTTCAAGAAACATGCCTTGGCCAAAATATGTGTGATCTTTTTCTAAAAGTAGAGACTCACTTGAAATGAAGAATAACTGATGAAAAGCGATTACCACGAAAGACATTTATTCTTAAAATTTGGAAATTGTATTAACTCTGAAAATAATGTACAAAATTTATAATCATTGAAATAGTAAACTAACGTATAGTTTTCAATACCCGATAGTAGATAAATTCTTAGAATATATGTATCTATTTTTGATGTTGAACTATTAATTTTGCGTAGAAAAATAGTAGAAGACAAGTATCAAAAATCATTAATTGTGTTCACTTCATTTATCATATGTTGAATTATCATAAAGACAAATAAAAACTAAAATTATCTTTAGAAATAAATGTAATGGCTATCATTTATCGTATATTTTCCTTACTAAAGTAATACTACAACGTTCTATAATCAATTGAAGCATTAAAATTATCACAAATGATTTCCAGGGATACATTTGATTAATCAGGTTACAATTAGGGGTACTGGAACATGTACTCCCGATGATTCTACTGCATATTCATGGTATTTAATAAAACCACACAGCTTTGAGCGTCCGAATCGAACCCAATATCCTACGGTCCTGTTTCAGACCGCCAAAATATTATGAGAAATTAATATGTGTTGGCGCATGTGGTGCTTCAGCCCCGGGTTTGAATGCGGTGTGCGGTTCCAATAAACCCCAATGTGCTAATTTTCATCAATGATGCTCGTATATGGCTCACTGCACTACATGGAACTACATTTAACTACTCAAAGACTCAAATAGATCAGAATTTCTGATCCGACGGTATGATTCCGAAATTAACAACATTCAGAATAATTTAAAATAAAGCTCTGTAAATTTTGAAATTATTTTCTTTTCATAATGCAAGATATTTAATTTTTAAAAAAGGTTCTATCAGCTTTTCGTTCAATATTTAAAACTTTTGTCACGGAGATCAACCGACTTACCCTACGTTTCATCTGGAAATTAATTTTTGCTCAAACAGGACTTGTTAATATTTAAATGTATTAACAGATCTTAAGTTATTAAACTAAAGTTACTAAAGATTGTAACGATATGTTTTTCCCATCACATATAAACATATCGAAAAATATTTTTAGGAGCACGCACTTTTTTCTACACATACTAACTGTAACAAAAGTAAAATTAACTATTTTTTAATACAATTTCAGCAACGTAATTTACTTCATAATATATTTTAGGGTATTACTCTAATAACAGGATCAGCTTAGAACGGAAATGGTTTCCGAGAGTAGACAAATCCAAATACCTCGGCTCCACAATAACCTCAATTAATGACCATCGGCTCTGAAATAGGCCATTGTATAACAAACGCAACCAGAGTTTTCT